AACGTTACCGCGTCCAGTGGGCAGGAGCCAAAAGACGAAGCAATAATAAAAAATTGTAGCATACATACATTGTAAGAAATGTATAACCATGAGGACTAAAGAATAACTGGACAGTGTACTACATTTTGCATTATTAATATGGTGCCATTGAGCCCATAGTTTAACGACAAGCACTAATGGTTTCACTCTCCAGTCAACTGTAAAAATATTTATATAAATAGTGATTACAAATATTTTAATACATACAAGATATCCCAAAATTTGCAAGTGAAGTACAAGACGTGATTCTTTACGCTAAAAGAAATTTTTTCCTTTAGCTAAATTCCGTCCAACAAATAGTTTTTTTTGCAGGAAATACAGGTTGAAGTTAACTAATGAGTGCTCTTACTTATGGCGCTGAAGGCGTCAGCGTGCGCTTCTCAGTCACTTGTACCTAGTTCTTAAACTACTTGCGTATTATATTATTTTAAATATTAATGACAAAAATAAGTAAATATTGTTTTTATTCCTTACATAATAAACGAATAAAAGAAATAAAAGCAAAAATATAAGTAAAAAAATAATAAAAAAGGTTAAAAGTAATTTTAATTTAGTCAACTTTTGTCATATTCTCTAAGCAACACATTATGGAGAAAGTTCAAGGACTAGGTGACCATACAAGTGACTAAGGAGCACGCGTCAGCCTTCAGAACCGTAGATACGAATTCGTTAATTTCAATCTGCTCTCCTGTAAAAACTATTTATGTCAGACGCAATTTTGCTAAAGGAACATGTTTCTTTTAGCACAATCACATCTTGTACTCTGCAAATTTTGGAATGCCCTGTATATACATTATCAACACAGACGCGTGTAGACGCAAAAATTATTTATTGAACTTACGTTTTGAATAACAATATAGCAGATGCGTGTTCTTGATGCCAACAGAATTGTTACAATTCATATCGACTTTAAATTTTCGTATAGCATCAACAAATGTTATAATGGGTACTTTTGCATGTATCATATCGAGTTGTTCAACAAAATCTGCATACAAAGGACAAAAAATTGTAAAATTATCATTAAAAGATAGCTTATATAAACGTATCAAGATACATTTTTAAGAATGTTATGCAATATTTATAATTTTACACACCACTTTGTTTAAGATGTTTTAGCACTTCCGTTAAATGTTCTATAGCTATACATCTTGCATCCAATTCAGTATTTTTTATTAAAAGACATACATCGACATCGCTATCATTTGACCCAAACCCATTCATTGTCGAACCACCCAAAAATACACAACAATTTGGATATACAGTCTAAAAGTATAATTTATTAATATGATTAAACAGCAAATATAATATTAGTATGTGTTATTTCAAATTTTGTTTTTAAATATATCTTAGTTATATTTCATGTTGCCATATTAAGTCTCATTTCTCTCTCTTATACTTTACCTTAACATACGTATTAAGCTGCTTCCATAGCATCATTTTCTTTTTATACGTGGCTTCAGTTTGTTGATTCGTAATAAATTTACGCCAAATTTGTTCGGACAAATCATCCCATAATGATCCAGTAACAAGGTTACTTGGCGTAGAAGTTACTTGTACTAAATGAGATCTGGCAAGAAATCTATCAGGGGCCGAAATGCACCCGGGAAACATATCGTAATTAGATACTTCGGAATATTTACGATTTCGTGAAAATCTTTGCGAGGGTGCATTTTCATTCTTGCCTGAAAATCAAGTTTAATTAATTCGAGGTATAAATTCTTTTTTCTACCGCATTTTATAATTTCAATCTAAAGTATATTATCATATGTTATTAAATAGAGTTTATGTGTACCTGATAAATATCTTCTTCTGTTCTGATAATTTTGCATATGTGCTCTCGAAGTAGAATTGGTAGTATCATAATTACTGTTGGATCGTTGGGTTGGATAAAACTGATGTGCAGAGGTATTTGAAATTAAACCATTTGTTGTATTATATGCTCTGTTATCTGGATGTGCCTTATGATGCTTTTTACTAAAAATTTAATTGATTAATGATTTATATGTATATATACACACACACGAACACGCACGATAGCCTGGCCACAAAAGGTGGTCTGTTTTAAGTTTCCCCTGTGTACATTTATGCTTATATGCGTTATAGATTCTTGTTTATTAAAATTATAAAGATTTTACTCTTTTTTTATTCCTCTTTTCACTTTATCTTTTGCTATATATTTTTTCTCCTATTTTATTTACCCAAACTTTGCCTACCCTTTTCTCCTCTTTTGTATTCTTTCTTTTTATAATCAGTAATATATAGTTCATAGACTTTTTCGAAAAAAAAAAAGAAATATAAACTTAGTTGAAAAAAAGGATAAACAATGTCTGGAAAGCAGGCAGTAACAAATAATTCTAAAAATACAGAATAATTACTTTAGCCACTGTCCTCTTACTGAAATTGTAGAATCTCGTTCATCTGAAGATTCTGTTAAACTATTGTCAATATAATGTTTGCTTGGTGTTGGTGAACGAGAACTAAACCCACTATCGCTATTGTATGCCTCATATTTCGAGAAATTCCTATACGAACTCCGTCGGCTATTTCTGTTATTCCAGCTTGGTTTTTTTGTCGAATTACTATTTGTAGGTTGCTTGAAATTGTAGTTTGAGAATGGTATAATTGACGAGTTGCTGGATGTATTCATACGTCTTTCCCAATTTAAAGAAGATGAATTATTGTTTGATTGCATGTATTCTATACGTCGTAATGAGGGTACATCGACTCCTATTAATTGTAATAAATCCAGAGGAGATCCTGTCTGTAAGAACATTACTTGTATAGTCCCACAAAGAATAGAGAGATATCCTACTAGTATATAAAATTTATAAATAAAAAATCTAATTATACATGACGATATTTAAGAGCCTTTGACAATATATTTGAAAATACAAAATATATTTACTTACATTGACGAAAGAATTGCTAATGCATACAAGTTAATTGCATGCTAAAATATATGTTAGCACATAGTATATAGAATTTCGATTTAATCCAAAAGATTGCTTAATGTACCTGTATCGTACGATGCCTGTTATGTCCAGAGATATTCGGACCGTATTGTGGGAAGTCAGATTGATGTAATGAATTTACACCGTTAACATGCAGAGTGTGATTTTGTGCCGACGGACATTGTCCATTATTTGTTTGGTGGCCTCCCATTATTTGTACCACCATTTGCGACGGAAATACAGTATGATACATAGTCAAAATAGGTATACAAATATCAGAATCTCTCTCTCTCTCTCTCTCTCTCTTTCTCTTGAATTGTTTATTTAATTCTTAATATAGCAATATATTGGCGTTTACTTAATGGCACTCATAGATGTTTTTAGCACTTATAAGGCACCCGATGCTAGGATTATTAGTAACTGTATCTTGAAATAATTTATAGTTTATCAAATTAATGTCTACATGAACACTTAGGAAAGCTTCAAGCTTCTTGTGTTACTTTTCTTTCTTTTTTTTCCGTTTGTGTATATTTTATCTTTTTATATTGCAGTTTCGCAATATTATGTTGTATCTTTATGAGATTTTACTATGTTAAATCTAAAAGTTAACAACAGACACATATATATACACACGCAGAATAATTCAGTACTATAAGGAGATGAGATTGTATAGTGAAATTAGGAATTTTGAAATAATGAGACGCTACAATTCACACTCTGTCTATCTCTTGTCATAGAATTTATAAATATATATGCGTGCATGTGAAATGTGCAGAGCTGTAAACACAAATTGTAATATAAATTAATGACTACGCTTAACGAACAAATAATTTCAAACACATACTACAACAGCATTGCATTAGAGGAAATTAAATTTATATGAGACAAACAAAATAGCCTGGTTTGATTTTCAATCGACCATCAGATTCACTGGTCTCAAATTTGAGTTACTTATATTAATTCTATAGTATATACAACTTTGCCTGTGCAAGAGGTACGCTTCTAAAGTTTAGTTTCCAAGTGCTTTCGTCATGTAATGTGCCGTTATTCCATCTATCTTTTCCTCCCCCTTTCTCTCCCAAAGTTTCAGATCAGACGCGAGATACAATTTTCTCGTTCTATCACAATCTCCTAAAAGAAAAACAATATTTGTCATGTAACGCATTGTTGTCGAAAGATTTATTTTAAAAATGATCTTGAGACATAAATTATAATAGAATTATCTCACACAACTCATGTTAGAATAGGACCAAATTAATTGGTTTTTGCTGCTTGCAATACACATTATCTGATATTATTTTTTATAATAAATTCTATTAAAATTCATTATAAAAAATACAATGTTAATGATCTGTCAAAGAATGCTAGAAACAATACTAAAATACATATATATATATATATATATATATATATATAAAGACAGAATCATATATTGTGGGACATTAAGGACGGAAGACAAAGGATACATATAAATAAATGTGAAAGTTAATCAAAATTTATTCTAATCTTGTATTTTCCCAAAGAATTACAAATGTACATTGGTGCTTTTGGGACTTACAAGACTAAAAGATTGCTGCATCGTGTAATATGTGAAACAAACATTAAAAATAAATGTTTATCTGTTCACATTAACCAATTTGCAATGAATGTCGTATTCTAATTCTAATGCACATAAATTGCCTACAAAAACATTAACAAATACAACCAATTTGTACAATCACACATGGAGCTTGCGAAATTTGAAGACTGCTGCGTCTTATAGCAAACATTAGAAGTAACTTTTGATAAATGTTTAGTATAAGTGCGTCCTCTTCGATTTTCTCGAGCTCGTGTACCTCCAAAGTGTGGCAATCGAGTCTGCTTGAAAATAATCCCCTCTTGTTCAATGCGTTCTTCGTGCGTTAAGCCTTGTGTCCACGATCCAAGAACTTGGTTCAAGTTCTAGTTTCGAGAAATGTGTAGCCAATCAACCTGCAGCTATTCCATAAAAGCTGCAAGGTGATTGGCTACGCATTTCTCGGAACTAGAACTTGGACACAGTTCTTGGATCGTGGACACAAGGCTTTACAAGCATATTTTTAACATATACCATACAGTTTTCTTAAAAAGCAATGTGTGCGTAACACGTTTATTTCCGTTTTAACGATACCCTAATAGCACAGTGCATTGGCTAAGCATTGATCCGAGGGGTAAACCGCTGACCAAAATCACGTACACCAATGCCCACTAATGCCCAGTGGGTATTATCTTATTATATCTTTTTAGTGCCCCGGCTAGGTCTAATGCCTAAATGCCCAGTATTTCCGCAAAAATGAACACAGCAATGCCCCTTGGCGGTTTACTCCTCGCATTGACCCAATATTGGTTATATTGGCAATACACTGACCAGTATTTTCCAATGTAAATCCAATACTGGCCATGGAAGAAATGTAAATATTGCATGATAATAATTATATAATATTAGATTTATGTTGGAAGTAAATTGGCCGATATCTAATGCAACAAGAGTATTCTGGAATGAGTGATCTATTGTTCTGGCTGTTGCCGAGAGAGAGGTGCGTTTGGGTGAATCCTTGGGTTTGTTTTCTGTTCCTGCACTGGTGAACTAGTGCAGTAAGCTAGAATGAGAAAAATATGCTTGTCTTACTCCAATTTATTGCACTAGTTCACTAGTGTAGGAACAGAAAACAAGCCTCTTGTCTCCTTCTAGTACTACCTGATTGGATAGTCGCATATAAATGACGAGAAGAAGGGCGTCACTTATATGCGATTATCCAATCAGGTAGTAGTAGAAGGAGACAAGGATTCACCCAACGCACCTCTCTCTCGGCAACAGCCAGAACTATAGGTCACTCATTCCAGTATGTATAGAGTTCACTGCCTTAAGAGGAGGCGTCCATCTTACAATAGGCTTGTTTTCTGTTGCTACACTGGTGAACTAGTGCAATAAATTAGACCAAGACAAGTATATATTCTTTCTCATTCTAGCTTACTACAATAGTTCACCAGTGCGGCAATAGAAAACAAACCCAATGTTGGACCAATGTTGGGAACATTAGGTTTACATATTTCCCAACATCGCGCTAATATATTGTGTACTACTAGGGTAATTGAGTTTTGTTGAAATACGCTTATAAAAGGGTACGGGACACTCGAATCTTTCTCGACCGTTTTCTATATCCATTCCTGGCTCTTTTCGCGTCGCAAGGTTCATTTATGATGTTCCTTGAACATCAACAGCAAACGTTGACGTCACGCGACGGCTGACGCGAGAAAAAGTCGAGTGTTCCGAGATAGATTCCCTTACCTATAACGGTATTGCTGTGTCAAAATGCGCATGTAAAATGGGGGGGTTATCAAGAGACCGAGACGAGACTGGACAATTTTCTCGAGCCAGTTCGGTTTCCGCACGTCGGGATACACGTGCGAGTTTTTATAAGAGGCCAAAGAGAAGGTGATGCTCACGCGGCGAATGTTTACCTCGCCAGTGTCTCCCCGATTTCGCGGACGCGATTTGGAATCCCTGTTGTTCGCTCTCCACGGAGGGAGGCCGGGCGAGGCGTCGAACGCAACCCTCGGCGATACCCTCTTTCGAGAAGACGCACGCTCCAACGGAAACCACCTGCTCGAGTTCGACACGTGCACAGGACTACGCGCGGCAGAGATAACACGCGGACAACACGAAATACTTTCCAATTACGACAATACAATGGCGAGGAGAAGCAGTAGGAGGGGGGGGGAGGCTCGCGAGATAACGCGAGATCGAGGAGAACAAAGGGGGACAAACGGCGTCGCACGAGACAAACATAGAGCGAGGAAGGGGAATTACCGGTACCTGCATGACTGCGGCCGCCATGTTGTCCTGACTCCCGGCAATTCCCGGTCCCTCGGACGAGCACGGGGAAGGAAAGGTTGCGGGGGGGGACTACCTTTTAGCTCTGGGGGCCGCGCTCACGGCGCGCTCGCGTATCGGAGAGATACGCAGGGTTCGCTTGATCGTGATCGTCCAACTCGGTCGGCTCGATCCGCCAAACGCTCGGCTGTGGATTCCTCCCGGAAGCGCGCGCGTCCCGTCGACGACGAGGATCCTTCTCCGCTTGATGACACGACACGCCTCCCCGTATACCCGCGCCCCGCGGCTACCAACACAAATCGCCGCACCAGCCTTAACTCACGTCGGACGTTTGAATTTTCAAATTCCTCGGCGAGCAATGGACGGTCTCTCGTCTCGCGTGCCTGACGACTCGGCCACGGGGCGGTGCTAGCGGCGTATTATGGCAGCGATTAGAGAGGTCGAGATTGGTCGAGATATCGAATGGCAGGGTTGCCAACGTTGCCAATCGCGACAGCGACAATTTCTGGCGGTCACCTTGTGTGATGTCTGCCCCTCACTCGTGTAAATATTTTTTTTTATCAGCTTGAACTGCCGAACAGCTTAATAATTTTCACTTCGCGACGGTGAGGACAAACAATAACAACGACCGGCGAAATAGCACCCCGTCGTGAAACTCGCAACGGTCGTCCATTTCGAAGCCGGGTCTCTTGCGATCAGGACTGTCCGGGACTATGAACGATAACTAGAAAAACTAACTTTTGCATTTGTTTTACACACCTTGTTCTCCGTTTTATTCGCTCTCCCTTTCCGGAAAAGCTAAGGCCATATAAATTAAATATAACCTAAAAGAGAAGAATTATCCGCGTTTAATACAAAATGCACAAATTTATCATTATCGATCTCTAAAATCTACTTGTACAAGTATGGAACTGCATAAATGTTAAATTTGCGAAAGAGTGTTAAAACTTTCATTCTCTTGTCAAAAGAACGTCAAAAAAGTTAAAATAATGTTGCTGAAACGTTGAATGTTGAAGTTAATATCTAAGTTAAATATCTTTTCTACGTTGAATCTAGATTAATGTTTGTACATTAATTCTTTATATTGCTGCAACGTTAACACAATCTTGAACAAATTATTATTTTTTGACACTCAAATAGATACTTAAAAATGTATATATTTTTTTGCAACGGTCAGAAATTTTCAGAGCTAAGATTGGATTGTTTTAGTGGAATAATTCAATTACAGCACTTCCAACAGTTGTAAAAAATACTCTGCTAAACGCCCCCAATGTTGACTCAATATAATTTAACAATGTTTTCTGAATGTTGAATTGTAACGTTTACAAGATATGTTACAATTCAGCGGACATTAGACGGTTTCGCAATATCTTTTCAACGTTGAATCTACATTTCGTAACATCGATGCAATATTGCAATGTCGATTCAACATTTGAGTGCTGTATGGGAATACGAAGCGGCAACTCGCAGGACAGGAGGAAAGAGGCGAGAGCGCGATTGCTTTCAAACCAAATTTATTTTCTCCATAAGATCTCACAAGAAATTTCGTTATTACAATCTGCTATAATATTAGCGGTGCGGTGTTGGTCAGACAAGAGAAATAAAATAATTTAGTGTTGTATAATGCAAGTTACATTATCACTTAATTATCACTTAATCTATTGCAATATAACGAATTTATATTACCGCCAGAAGCCAGTACAGACAGGCTATAGAATTCGGAAGCAATAGAAGGGCGATCCGAATTTCATAAAAAAAAAACAAAAAATGTATAGAACGACTTTCCGGTCTATACCGCGAGTGGGAGTCCTCGAATGCTGACAATTTACTCGATACCACTGAGGGCAGTGGTAACGTCTAAAACACACACAATGATGTAGGATCTTTGCATGGCGCGTGCCACATCCAAAAGGGCATAAAAATCAAGACGTTTTCCCACTAAATTTAATCAATTGTCGGTCGCGCGTTAACCCCTTCGCTACGAGAAGCCACCGTCGTTGCTTGCTGGGAATCTCTTCCCACGTGAACAGAGACAATTTCGCCGGCTCGTCAAATCCCTAAATAAATTTCAGTAATTTCTTACTCGTCGATTTATAATTACTTGTACATTACATCGACGCGATGGAACTGTCGTGTTTAAACTCGCAAGCGTTGGAAGTTCGTACTCTCGTGGACGAGAGTAGCGTTTCGCCTCCACCGCGCATCCATCAACTCGCCGTTGCGAAAAGGCTAAAGAACGACGTGCGACACGCGATACACGAAGGAAAGAACGAATTGTCATTTCAGCAAGCTGTGCGTCTATACTGTTTCTCGGTCACGTTCCGATCCGCCTGGCCCGTGCGCGAGGGATCCGCCGTGACAGAGCGATCCCTCCGATCGTGCGCGCTCCCCGTCGCGTGACCTCTGCGGTAAAGTAAGCAATAGATATCTAAAATAAAGAGGAAAAAAAAGAGAAAAAAACTTAATCAACATGATCAAAACCACCGATGAATTTCTCACGAGCGGCGGAGGGCGCCGGTCCTCTGAGAAAGGATGTCCCATCTCCGTGAATGATGTTGAAACATTGGCTTCGTACTGTTTGACAATGATGCAACATTGGCGAAATCCCATCGACAAAATCTTCCGCCGGAGAGATCGATGTCGATTCTCGATGTACGTATGCGTGTATATGTGTGTGTGTGTGTGTGTGTGTGTATGTGTGTGTACGTGTGACGTGCGCCCACGCGCGCGAGGAGCGAGCACGTGCGGTGCACGCCTTTCCCTCGGCTCGCAACAACGTGTGGGTACATAGAAATTCGAATGCAGTGTGGTCTCCTCGTGCTTCCTCCATTCGATTCGAATTTGAGTCGATCATCCGAGCGACAAAGTGAAAAGAAAAGAACATGCGGCGTTTTTCGGCGCTATTGCGATCCGATCTTCTGTGATGCACGGATTACCAGAAGGAGCCTCGAAAATCTCATCGTAGACTCACCCGGGTGTGACGCGATACACCGGTACACCCGGTAAGATTCGGTCGAATCGTAATGCGACACTCCTCCGTTTTATGTCCCGTTTCTCTCTCTCTCTCTCTCTCTCTTTGTATTCATTTTGGTTTTTTTACTCCTTTTTCCGTCCGGTTACAGGTCAGTCACTCCGATCCCCGCGATGAAACGGCGTCCATTCACGGTGTGAGCGCGTGTCACGGTGATTGACAGTGGTAGTGGTTGGTCATCCTCCAGCCTGCACGATGTGTCCCCCTCTCTCGCCCTCGTTGCTACAAATCAGATACATAAGCCTCGCGCGTTTCCGCGTCCACGGTGGAAAATCCTCCAATGGCGAATCAGCTTTATGGAATCTTCGTTCTCCATTCACTCCCCTTTACCTCACGTCGACGACATGAGCGTATGCTGCATAATATCGCACTCGATCGTCGAGCCGTCGTACCGTTTTGCGCAGTTAGTGATTTGTGGTCGTTGGTCGAAGAAGTAATTGGTCGAACGAGCCTTCATGGCATGGCAATTGCGTTGCTCAGCCGTAGGTAGGTCTCGGCTCAGTAGGGCTGCGAGAACTGTCCACCGGCCTGCGACTGGCCCGACTGATAGAAGCCGCTGCGGTCGCCCTGGTAAGTCGAGTCCTGCGACAGCAGGCCGTCCATCTGCGACTGGAACTCGCCGACCGCGAACGAGTCCTGGGAGAGCTCCGCCTGGCTGAGGCCGGGCTGCGAGAGGCTGAAGCCAGGCTGGGACATGCCCTGCGTCGTACCCTGCGTCAATGGCAGACCCGGCTGGCTGTACGGCTGCGTGTTCTGCTCGGTCTGGCTTAGCTTGCCCATACGCGGGCCCGATTTGTTACGCGCGGACGCGGCCGCGCCGCGCCGGTTTCTCTGATTCTGACGCGCCTGCAGCGCCTGCTGATGTTGATTGAAGAAGCGCGGCGGCACGTGCGCCATGTTCATGAACATGCCGACCGGCACGGGCATGTTGTTCATCGCCGCCTGCGCCCGCTCCGGGCTGATGTAGCTGATGGTGTCGTGGGTGCGGCTGAAGATGTCGAGCGGCACGTTTCTTTGGTAGTACGGATTGTGGTTCTGCGTGCCGTTCACCTGAGCGCCGGAACGATCGTATACCGAGCCGGGGATCAGAGCCTCGCGCGCATCGTACATGGACGTGGACATGAAATGCGAGCCCGGATTGGCCGCGTTCACGAGTTTCTTTGGCTTGGCGAATTGGATCATGGACTCCTTGAGATTATTCAGCGGTCCCTCGACCAGCACCTTCTGCTCCTTGTAAAAGCTGAGCAGGTGGTTCCAGAGCGGCTGCTTCGACAGCACCTTGGGATTTCCTACGATAATGATGCCGTACTTGGCGCGAGTCAACGCCACGTTCAATCTTCTGGGGTCGTTCAGAAACCCAATGCCCTGATGCTCGTTGGATCGCACGCAGGACATTATTATTATGTCCTTCTCACGTCCCTGAAAAGCGTCCACGCTCGCCACCTCGATCTCCTGGTACAATTTCGAGTGTAGGGAACCCTGGTACTGCATGTACTGCACAAGATAGGCCCGTTGACCCTCGTACGGCGTTATCACACCAATCTGCTCCGATTTCACGCCGCAGCGTAAGAAGCGCGTCGTTATCTTCTCCACGTTGGACGCCTCGGTGCGATTCAAGTAAGACGTCCCACTTCCGGCTATCTCCTCTTGACCCTGCGTGACATAGAAGAACATCGGCTTGTCCGGTGCCGGCCAGGGAAAGTCGATCTTCAGCAATTTTCGCTCGTCGGCGCAAACGCCGTTCTGCAGAGAACCCTCGTAAAAGAAGTTGGATGGAAATCGCGACAGGTCGGGGTGCATACGGTATTGTACTTCCAAGCGGAACGGTCTGATTCCCAGCACCACCAGTCTTTCGAACAGGGACTGGGACAGGCCGGCTCTGGCGGCTTTCTTGCACATTACCACCGGGCCTAATTGGCAGTGATCTCCGACGAGGATCAATTGCTTCGCTCCTAGAACAACCGGCACCATGCACTCCGGCTCGGTGGCCTGCATGCTCTCGTCGATAAGTATAGAGTGGAACTTTAATCTGTGCAATCTCGGATCACCGGCGCCTACGCAGGTGCAACATATCACATCGGCCGCTTCCAGAAGCTCCTTTTCCGCCGCTTTCTTCAAAAGTCTGTAGCGCTTCTCGTCGACGCTCGACAACTCGCCCGTCTCGTCCTTCAATTGTTGCAACTTCTGCAGCTCGGTGTTGGTCTCCAGGTTCTTTATTTGATTATGCAGCGCGAGGAAACTCACTGGCGAATCAATGGCCTCCCGCGATTTGGCACACAATCGCACGACTTTTAAATTTGACTTGTGTATCTTCTCGGTCAGTTGATCGACAGCGGTGTTCGAGGGAGCGCATACGAGAACAGGACCACCGCTCTGTTTCACGAGTTGATAAACTATAGTGGCGCTCGTCACGGTTTTACCTGTTCCAGGTGGCCCTTGGATCAGGGATAAAGGTCGTTGTATCGCATGTTTCACAGCGTACACCTGCGATCTGTTCAAGTCAGGTAGATTCGGCGCGCTAAAATGTTTAGGGAGATGACAACGGAATAAAACCTCTTCCACTTCGTGTCCCAGTAGTCTGTGATATATGTAAGCCGACACCGACGTATCGTCCACGGCAAATTTGCGCAAGGCGGACTGCATTCTGTAATCAAATTAAAATGTTTGCTGAAACCGTAACAGAAAACAATATTGATATACATATTGCGATTTTGTCCGTGTCTTACCGATCGAAGCTCGTGCTCTTCCAAATAAAATCAACGACGAAGTTGCTCATGCAATCCGTCGGCGCCCCAGAATTGTTTTTCAGCTCAATCCCGACGTCCTCCCCGTAATTGTCGGGAATCTTAATCACATGTCCAATTCCGGACCAAGGTTTATGTAGCTCTCCCAGATAACGGAGCCTCAGTTCATCTCCGTGCATCAGTTTCATATCTCCGTCTGTCTTAGCCAGCATAAAATACGCGATTGTCTTCTTGTTCAACCCAACGTCCCATCGTACCTCAATATTCTCTTGAGTCTGAGATTCTTTCAGCCGTTTATCATAATCAGCTTCCAATTTCACGAGTGGACCAAAAATATTTTGATACTGATATCCGTCCTCGTAGCGCAATAGAACCTGCTGCGGCTCCTCGTCTACCCCGGGCTTCTCTAAATCTTGGAAAGTAGCGTCAACATTGTCCCGCCACAATTCCTCTAATTTATTAATCTGCTGCGCCGAGATCTGCCTAGCTCTTAGCTGTTCTTGTTCGGACGGAAATTTGACCAACCAAGACAAAAAGCTGCGATCTTCGATCAGAGGCTTCCATTGTTCTTGATCCCTGAATGTTCGGCAAATATTAAAATAGATTTATATGCATAAATATAGAGGAAAGTCCCTTATTATGCGATAGGCCCTTATATGAGACAGCGCGGTTTCTGCTAAATTAATAGACATCAGTTTTTGGCTCCACCATGAATTTATTGCCCTTGGAGTGAAATTTGTTCAGCGGAAAATTCATTGTTAGATCACGTAATCGTTGCAAAAAAAAAGATTTATGATCGAGTTTGGATGTTGAAAACTTGTTATCTCATATTAGAAGCCTATCTCATAATAGGGGACTTTCCTCTATTATTATATCACCTGTAGATTTTCCGGGCACAACTTTCGTCAAGGTGCGTCGAATGTGCTCAATATTTTACAGTAGATACCTGGTAACAGGTGCATCTTGTACACGAAGGGTAATGAAATTTGACAAAATACACCGTGATTTTCGAATTTTTCACTCGTGCGCTTTAAATCTAGTTATGCTAAGAGAAAATCGAAAGGTGATATAATTTCGGCCGGTACTGTGTGCAAAGGAGGACGAGTTATTCTCTTACCAATTCATATCTTTCAAAGAACTCTGTGCCGCGCACGGTTGACGGCAGAGCAGCACGACCACGGAGTCAGCCTTGGCGGGAATAAAACCCAATACGAAAACGTTTCTCGTGGCGCAGGAATAACACTCCAAAACGGTTTCCCCGAGAGCGCCATCTCTGTAAACAGTGAATTTTATGTCCAACCGATTCATAAAAGGACATTAAGCCTCTCTAATGCATCTTTTGCCCGTTTTCACCAACGTCGTTTACCTTTCATCTTGGTTCAATTCATCCTTTGTCTCTTTCTAATCGTCCCCTTCAGCCTAATCTGCAATATGCCCTTTGTGTCTAGAAACATTTTATTTTGTAGCCAATGAATACGTTTAAACAATGCGTGCAAGTTGATAAAGGGTGCTTTCCAGCAAGAGGCACAGACTGACACAGCGTAATACAGAGAATCATGTTATCCTCGTTTAATAATGGCAAACAAAGATAAAGCGATTCGCTGCGTTACACAGTGTCGCCTGTGTACATCGCTGGAAATCATCCAGATTGTACATTAATCATTGTACAATCAATCGTACGCGGTCGACAAATTTTTTAAGCGTTTCGATGTGCTTTTACAAGATAGAACGTCTCTAGACGCGAAGAGCACGTTGTAGATTAGGCTTTAGAGAGAGGCAAGGGGTGATTTTAATCAGAGATGAAAGTTAAGCTGCTGACGGGCACCGGGAGACGTTTGTCGTCCCTCTTAAGGCCTGCGTCCACGATGCTAGTTCTGAGAAATGCGTAGCCAATCAACTTGCAGCTATTCCACAAAGGCGTTGCACAAATGCTAGTTGATTGGCAGCGCATTTCTTGAGACTGGAACTTGGACCAAGTTTCAGCGTCGTGGCCACAGGCCTTTACGTCTACATGATAAGCCACCTGTGTAAAGTGACTTCCTTGTGCTTAGCACGGACAAGATGATTGATAATGTGTGATCCGGACGTATTGCCGCGTCCATTGCAGAACCACTTCCGGCAGACGTTGCACATAACCACGCAGGACGCCTCGTGGATGCCGCAGTATTTACAAGCATGGTCAGGCAAGTCGCGGTTATAGTAGGCTTCCTCTTCCTCCTCCTCGAACTGCAACTCGGCGAGGCTCTGGGCCGCTCCAGAAATTTTCAGGTCCAACGACGAGCTGCCATTCGTACCGTTAACCTAAGCGACAGGAGCGTTGGAGAGAACATGAGAACACCGTCAAGACTGTAGCGAGGTATCCGATAAACAAAAGTGTACAAGGCAGACGTTATTAAAACACGAAACGACCGCGCGCGAGTCAAGTCGGACAAAGCGTCTAGACCTTCCCGGGGAAAAATGCATCGCGGCGTCTTCCCTCCTTATCGCAACGCGGCGCAAAACGCTCCCTTTATCTCGGATTTATTTACAAGCCGGAGAAATTAGTTTATCGGGGTTAAACGCGTCGTCGTGTTTTTCCTCTTATCTCGCGTCGCCTCCGATGACGAGCGTCCGCTCGGGTTTCCCGTCCTCCACGTTACAGCCGCGCGGCAGCGGCTTGCGTAACTTTGCGGAATTCTCCGGAGCGACCGCACCTAACCTCGCCGCTCGCGGCTGGCGCGAGGGAGACAGGGGTGGTGCCGTCCCGTGGCGCTTCTCCAGCGGGCGATCAAGGTCACGCCGACGATGCAGCGCCCACCTGGAAGTTCCAGACGACGCTCGTCCGCGAGGCGAGGGGAAAAAATCAGTCGCGGGGTCAGAGAGCGAAAGATAAGAGACGGGGACGGCGAGAGAGAGAGAGAGAGAGAGAAAGAGAGAGAAAGAGATAGAGTCGCGGCTCCGCTTTGCCGCCGCGCGGTTTGGAGGTTAGGTCGCGCGTGGCCGAGGCCGAACGCGCCCCGGGAGGCCGCGGCGGTCGCGCCGGGAAGCCGACCGGGTGGACGGGCGAGGGATCGCGCGCGCGTTTGACAGATAAAGCAACCAACCTGAACGGGTTGACTGGACTGCGTCTGGGTCGCGTCGTGCTGCGAGGCCTGGGTCTGACTCGGCGACGGCAGAGTAAAGTCGGTGAAGTCGAACTCGCTGCCCTGCGTGTCCGCGCCGATCAGGTCGGTCTCCTCGGTGTCGAGGAACGTGAGGGTCTGGCTGCTGGGCCCGTACGCGTCGACGCTCATCCTGGCGCGATCCGATCTCTCTCTCTTTCTCCCTTGTTCTGCACTGCTTTCTCGCTCGTGCTCTCTCTCTCCCTCTCTCTGTCTCTTTCACTCTTCGCGTCTCGCAGTCTCCGCGCACCCCCGCACAGCGAGGACGGAATTAGCGGATCGCGCGTTGCTCGTTCCCTCAGCTGCGTACGCCTCGCCGCGATAACGCAGCCCGTGGGGAGCGCGAGCGCGACGTTGCGTGCGACGCGTACGCGTGACGACGGGGCCGCACGCGCGCGAAGGAAACGGGCACCTCTCGGCCCGCGCACTCCGGGAAGCGGGCTACCACCTCGCCTACGCCGTACGTCGCTGCCCGCGAGTCCCGCGACAGCACGACACACACCGACACCGACACCGACACCAGGTGCAACAGACGCACGCAACTTTCGTCCCGCACGCGTGAGAAACGCTCGTCGTATGTTACGTCATCAGCTGATCAGACTGGTATACGGAGCAAGAGCGAGTGAGCGGAAGCGGCCCTTAGGGCCGATCTTATATGGGCAAAGTGAGAAGTCGGAGAAACGCGCGGATGCACGGCGACCAATGGCGGCCCGGGTCGCCGCGGGATCGGTAAGGCCATTGGACGGGACGGGTGCGCCGTCGTCGCACAGATGGCAGCGGCTGCCTCGGAAATTCGAAATTTGCCGCGGTCAAAAAAGCGCCGCGTTCGCTTATACCGTAACTGCGATTTTATACGTCTGTGATGAATGCAGGCCTACGCAAGAGCTTGGTGTCCTTTTTTAAAAGATGTAGTTAGAGATGCAGACACTATCCGTATCTTTCTCCGGAAAAATAATTCAGTGCATCCCGTACTTATATCCAAATCGAAGGAATTCACGAAGTACCTTGTACCTGCATTTCCTCACTGAATCCATAAAAAATTTACCCTTGTATCTGTATCTTTGATGAGAATAATCAAGAGCCTAGTTCCGGTCTAGGCTAACAATAAGTCCCAGTGAGAGATGATTCGTCGAAACGATGTCGATCGACATCGAAATTCGACGTCGATTCGACATCAATTTGACGTTGTCGATTGACGAGTCATTTCTCGCTGAGGTGAGTGTATAAGAGAATTCACAGTGCATTGGCTAAACAGTGGCTAAATATTGGTCCACTGTTGGTTGTATTGAGAAATGCATTGGCCGATATTGCGCAACGTAAAGTCAATATTGGCACTGGAATAAATGTAATTATTGCACGATAATAATTATATAATATTAAATTTATACTGGAAGTGCATTGGCAAATATTTAACAATGTAATAACAATATTGGTCTAATGTTGCATCAATATTAGACCAATATTGCTAAATAGACATTGGTTAATTAAGAGAAGGCGTCCATCTTACAATATTAGACCAATTTTGGGTATACTATAGATTTATCCCAGAGAACATGTGTATCTAAATGACATCTTTAAGACGTCTCTTATGTCTTAAAGATGTCTTTTAGACATGCATGTTCTCCGGGACGTTATTTCCCAATATTGCGCCAATATATTGGGCTACCAGGGATGGGAATTGAGAAAGACGACGTTCCTCAATAGATAGGTTTAAAAATAGCGAGGCGCTTGATTTTCATAGATATGTTTATTGTCAGTATTTTCTAATATATACTACATTATATATATGTACTAATGTTTGCTCATATAGGTAATATGTATATATTAGAAATGTGTACGCATATATACGAACATAACAGATATCAAACTTACAATGACTACGTCGGCATAGATTAATAAATACAGATAATAATATATATGTACAAATGCTTATAGGGTGATTTTTATGGCGGAGGATGTAGCTATTATATTTACCTCCCTTGCTTATCTACTATGGTACAGCATTCTGCATTTAGATATCTGCATTATTTACTGTATCTTTTTATAAAACTTGTATTATTCATTGGTTACAGACAGCGTAAGGGAGGCTGCGAAACACGATTGAACAGTTCCTGGTATAAATGATTTATAGTATCCTAGATCGTTCACTGTAAGACATTGCTAAAACGAGTATTATAATTCATGTCAAATGCGATCGCTCTTCGAAGAATATTCGTTGAACAAAATTCGATACGAGCTAAACCTAAAGCTTAATCAAATTTATAATTTCGTAATTATCTAGTCGGCGTCAAGTAGCATCTATTATGTGGTTCGCGAACCCTCATCGTTCTCAGTCGATGCAGGAATTAAAATTGAAGTCTATTTCAAATTACATATTTGCATAAAGCGTTACGACGCGCGAGATCAATCTTTCACATCCTGTAACATGCTCCAGCATTTTTATTGTCCAAGGGGGAGTCTAGAGACGCGCTTTCTTTTCTCAAAAGGACTCATTTGACCCTCGATTTTGTTACAAGTATCGAGGCGTATTTTTAAATCTACAATATTCTATATACACATAGGTATAAATTAGAAATTGAATTGCGTAGGTGCTTGGTCATCGGTAAAAACAAAGAAATTCGAATTCAAATCACGTATGACGTCTTTAACTCGCCGATGTCCCGTAAATGATAAAATATTGTTAAAGAAACCAAGATATTTTTGAAAGACGAAAAGCCGTGACACTTCCACCACGAATGGCTAAAGAAGAAATAGAAGAATTACATTTTATAACTGGGATCTATTTACAGATTTTTCTAATTACTTAAATTATCTCTAAAGTTATCAGAATATTTCTACATACGATTTAACTGTTACACTATGGAATCACTATAGTGGCTACCATCGTTCATCGCGAAATGTGCCACTGTAGTAATTTGTACAAATATATTAATTTACGTGATACGATAAAGTTATGCATTTTAAGTCTATACATGAAAAAGTGTAATATATATATATATAAAAGATTTCCGGCTTTTCTATTTGGTTCCGTCGTTGCGCGAAAAGATCCTGCGAGTAAAGCTTTCGTAATCAGTGCACCGCTTTCTCGCAGGGATTTGGCATGACAGTATCAGCCGCGAGTCAGTAGAATTAATAGACGAAAGTTCCCTATTATGAGATAGGCTCTAATGTAAGATAGCGGAGTTTCTGCTAAATTAATAGGCATTATCTGTTGGTTCCACCATAAATTTATTGCCCTTGTGACATCTGTTTAGTGGAAAATTGATTATTAGATCGTGTTCAATCGTTGCTAAAAAAAAATTGTGATTGAACTTGGACGTTGAAAACCCACTATCTCATATTAGAATCCTATCTCATAACAGAGGACTTTTCTCTATTCTTATATGAGTAACAATTAAATTAAAATATTTACATAGAGGCGCAACAGTGTATAACGAGCCGGCTCGAAGTTCGATCTATCTTTGACGTAGCTACAAATTCTGGAATTGTTATGCTAAGTTTATAGAGAACAATGCTTCCATACGCACATAGTTCATGTTTCTTGATTTTGTTCCTTCTAAGTTTTGGTTGCTTCCGTTACTTGTTAGTTACGTACCTAATCATAAATCTAACATTACAAAACGTCGATGGGAAAGTTTCGCGATCGGATCGCACGACCCTTTCCCTCCCAACACGCACCACGTAGAAACACACGGCGCGTGTACATTATTGTGATGCATATCTACAAATTCCAAGATTTAGTAATACGAATCAGTGATTGGTCCAATCTTATTAATCCCGTCTTCAACAGAACGAGGCAGAATTCTCAAGTGCAAAGTTGAATTTTATAAAATTTGCCATTGCAAATAGCATTTGACGTATCAAGACGAACTCTACTCGTGTTCCGAGCGGGGAAAATTCTTACAACGAGAAATGACTCATCGATGTCAAAACAATGTCTAATCGACACCGTCAAATTGACGTTAATTCGACATCAATTCGATGGTGTTGATGTCGATTCGATAGCGGTCGACGAATCATTTCATACTAGGGAGCTACGTCGTCAGCATAGATGCGAGGCGACTCGCTGATCGCATGGATCACGGTGGCCTGTGCGGTCCATCGACAGTCTACAGTCAATACTGAGGATTCGGCGAGTTTCTTTGGAAGTTACTCTGCACGCTTTGACTTTGCTGAAGAGGCCCGGCTGGACTCGGTCTTCCCTGATCGCGGTACTGCGGGGGTCCGTTGGGCGGACCCGGCGGCCCGGGCACTTTCCCGTAATTTCCCCGCGTAGAGCTCTGATAACTACCGTACGCGGAATCGTCACTGCGCCTCGACAAGTGGCCGTACATGCTCTCGGGCCGCCTGGAGCTCGTCCCGTTATCCGAGTTGCTCGACAACGGTCCGTTCTGATGTGGTTGCTGCTGCTGCTGCTGCTGCTGCTGCTGCTGTTGCTGCTGCTGTTGTTGCTGCTGCTGTTGCTGCTGTTGTTGCTGCTGCGATGGCGGCTGCGGTGGCGAATGATTCTGTATCGAGGATTGACCGCTCTGACCAGATTGCTGCGAATTCTGGCTGCTTGGCGGTGGTGCCGGCGCGCGACCGTAGATGGTGGAGCCGGTGGACACTCCGTAGATACCGTTCTCCCGCGTGCTGAGGCCCGTGGAGATCCCGCGGATGCCGTAGATGCTCTGCGTGCATTGCTGCAGCTGGTTCTGCATGTTCTGATTGGTGCTGTTGTGATTCTGCGACTGGCTCGGTGGGCCACCGGGTCCGGGCTGGGTCTCGCGGTTGACGACGTTTTGACAGCCATTCTGACCCAGTCTGATGGGATACAGACTCTGCGCCGGCACCAGCGGGCCTGGTTTCGGGATCATCAGGCCGTCCCGCGGCCCCGACGTCGACTTGGCGTAAACGCTCTGCGAGCGGTTCAGATTGGCGCGCGTCAACGGCGGCGATTTGCAGTAGAGCGACTTGGTACCGCCGTAGATTGACTCGACGCGCTCCAACGCGGATGGCGGCGCGCTGTAGATGGAGGAGGACGCGCCAGCGACCGGGCGATAGGTCGCGTACGCGCCGGGGAACTTGGGCCCGTTCGGCTTGTCCAGGTCGTCGTACGTGTCCTCGTCGGACCTCATGGACGAGTTGTCGCCGTCGTCCATGTCGCGCGAGTCCTTCGCGCGCCTGGGACTCAGGACGTATTCGTGCAACAGAGCCGCCACAGCACCTCCCGACAGCGGGCCCACCCAGTATACCCAGTGGATGTCCCAGCGGTTCATCACGAAGGCCGGACCCAATGCGCGCGCTGGATTCAAGAAAGGACTCTGCAAATTTCAGGAAAAAGGAATTATTAATATACCTATTCACGGTGGGTTTTTAAGAATAATCGTTCGTCTTGTTGAGTAATCGGATACTTAATTGAATATCATCAGTTCATCCTCCTCTCTTGCCTCTTTTCGTTCCTCAGCATCTACTTACATTGCATCGACCGCTTTCTCTTTCGAGCAATACTGCTATGTTGCGTATTTTCTCTTTGCGTTACTTTCGTGCGTTATGCGTAGCGTTTTTTATTTGCTCCAATCTTTACTTTATACCTAATTCTAGCAGGTAGGTTTGGTAATAACAACTTTCCGTTGGTACCTCACCTTTTGCTCTCGACTCTCAGTGTTACCTCCCTTTCACTGTGTCTCACTCTTGTAGCAATAAATTAAAATTAAATCACTGGAATATTTGCTGGCGATTTTTGGGGAAATTGAAAAGCTACAAATAGTCGTCTAAACGTCTTCGACAAATTGTAGAATGTTATTTTAAATATGTTACGTTTCGTCTGATTTTTTCGTATTGGACGAGACAAAGAAACGGGCGAGGATATTTAGGAATTTCGCACTGAAGGCGGTGAACTTGTTCGATTTTGCAAGGCGATCAACATTCAACATGTGTGGAACGTTGGTTTCGACATTTTTCGTTTTGGGGTGCATTGTACACTCGTTCCGGAGCAGGTGGGTCCAGGATCAAGTTCTTTCTTTCACCTCCCTGCTCGCCGTTCTTCGCGAGCCCACCCTTCTCCCCCATACAACGGCAGGTGCTCTTTAAAGATGCGGACGTCGGCCCGATTGGAAAGAGCCCGACAGACGCTTTCGGACAGAGAGTGGTTGCAAGAGACGACATGCACAGCGGAAGAAGAAAGCAGAGAACGCTGTTCTTTCATTAATTACGCATACGCTCGTGAAAGAGGAAATTTTTTTTCCTTACGAGACGCGATTACTTCACTGAGAAAAATATCTTGGCCTATCCAATTGGATAATTCAATTACGTATTAACAAACGGATATATTCGATTAAGCTGTATATTCGATGAATAATATAATCGGTTTTTCGATTAAATTTCATCGGTAGCTGCAATTTCGTTGGATCAATCTCATTGAATCCACAATTTAATCGGAAAACTTAGTCAGAAAAACCGATGGTTAATTTTTCATCGGAAACACTACTTAATCCATTTATCCAATGGAAATTTTTCTCAGTGTTGACTATGGGGAAAAATATAAGAATTTATAAGAGAAGTTAATTTGTTAGAATATTATTAGAATAATTTGTAGAGAATAGACAACGAATAGATGAGAATTATTTTGTTAATAATTTAATAATAATAAACTAACAAAAATAATCTTGAAGGTCGCCAGCAATAATTAACAACTTCAAGTTTGTGTGACCATATCCAGCAATTTTAATGTTCAAGTCTCGCAACGTTTCCCGCATGGTCGAAACGTTACGAGCCTTGAACATAAAACTTGCCAGATATGGTCAAACAAACTTGAAGTTGTTAATAATAATGGTTTTAATAATAGAGTATCAGATTGCATTGCGCATTATTAATAACGAGAAATTTTAATCGTAAATTGAGTTTCGCGTATCTACTTTAAATCTTATTATAATTAATAGGAGATTGAAGATATGTATTATATACACTTGAATGAAATAAGTGGAGCAACAGAAATTGCACGATTACAAGAACAACACCCTGGTAGCACAGTATGCTGGCGCAATATTGGGAAATAATCTAAATATGGTATTCCCAATATTGGTCCAATATTGTAAAATGGACACCTTTTTTATTTAGCCAATATATTTATCTATTTAGCAACATTGGTCTAATATTGATGCAATATTAGACCAATATTCTTATTACATTGTTAAATATGTGGCCAATGCACTTCCAATAAAAATCTAATATTTTGTAATTATTATCGTGCAATATTTACATTTATTTCATGACCAATATTGGCTTTACGTTGGACAATATCGGCCGATGCATTTCTAATGTAACCAACATTGGACCAAAATTTAAGCAATGCACTGTGCCACTAGGGTAGATTCGTTGAAAGTAATAATTGAGTATCGATTTAATGAGACAGGAAATCTTATTGCACTATCCGTTATTCTACTCTATAATCGGTTTTCATATTAAAACTGTGCAACTAGATAATTATAAAAAAACTGAACTTACGAAAACGAGAGTGGCCGCTGTATAGGCCGCGGCCAAAACTGCGGAGGCTTTCGAAGAAATCGTAGCTGGCAATGTTCTAGGTGAGTCCACAGAGAAATGTGCTAGGACGATAAACACTGATAGCGCTATCTCGATCAAAAGCCTCTCGATCGCGCCGACCAGCCTACCATGGGCCGTCAGGGTCTGCGTATTCGAAGGCACAGTTACTCTGAAATCGAAAGGAAAATTTGATAAACATTGATTTATCTATTCACTTAAATATCAAAGTGTCTCGCTTGAATGTAAGAAATATAAGTAAAACTAGCCACAAATAACTGGCATAAATGCTGAAACATACACCGAGAGAGTTTTCTCTTAAAAGTTACCCTAAAGATCATGTAATCGCGGGACAACACGGCGTTTCGACGAATTGTATCAGAGTTTTTTGAAATTTTACCATACATTTTACTAGTAAGAAAACTCTCATAAAGTTGTTCAAAATGCCATGTTGTCCCACAATTACGCGACTGAAAATATTATTAGAAACTATACATATCTCTCATTGTAATTGTTTCAATTATCTTGTCCTCGTCTCCAAAGATTAAAAAAAATTAAGACTACTTTAAGAAAAGAAAATTATCGATCGGTCGCCGAAAATGATCACATATGGTCTTCTGTATGGCGGTAGCATCAGTACGTATAAGAGTTATATCACGACCGCGATATAATATACGATGATTTTCCTATTGAAGCTTGCAGCGAGACATGCACCGCGCATAAAAATACCCCCTGCGGTAAGTCGGTCCCAGCGGTGTAATGTTTATATTAGCTAGTGCATCCTCGAGCCCTTAAACGTGACCCCGATGTTTCCTCTCGTGACGTTTCCCTTACATAAATTTCTCGTTGGATTTTCTCAGTTCATATAATCACATGGGGTCGCAGAGCTGTGACCTCCAATCGTATCCCACGAGTGCTCGTATGATTGCATTTCACACTTGCCAGCTAAAGTTTGCTTGTTAAAATACGATAATGCAAAAATGTATATCAGACGCAGCCCCGTTAACGATTCGACAGTTTTGCGGAAAAAAAGCTGCAACAACTTTCTCCGACGTCTTAAAAGAAAAAAGATAATTAGTTCATACTTAACGTGTCAACCTTTTAAGATTAACTTTCTAAATCTCTGGAAAAAGAAAGTTAAGCCGCACACGGATGGCACAAAAAGTATTAATGTGTCTTTGTTATCTAACTCTGTCTCCCGGAGACAGAATTCTTCTTGTTTTAACTTTTTACATTTATTCGTTTAACGAATGTTCCCTTTATCCTGCCTCTTCATAATAAGTTTTGTCATTCGTGCTGTTTACACATGCATGGACTATGCAAGCGAGTTTGTTCGGTCCAAATTCCTTGAATATAGCATTCATAAATTTCAATGAAATTACCATAATCAAGGTCCCTCGCATTACTTTCTATTCCAGACACCCCCTTTGCGATTTCGTCGGGATTTGTGCGCAACGTGATAAAAGCACAAAGATGCGGAAGTGCTCACGGTTTTAACAGACGTCTATCAAGTAAAAATAAAAAATAAATATTTGCGAAATATTCCAAGAAATTATCCTCTCTTCTCCCCCCCCCCTTTTTTTGCCCTTCTCGCTCTAAGCTTTATATGTATATTTCAATTTGACATTGTGTTAACAAAGACCTTTTCTTTTATACTGAGAATATTTTCTCTTCGCCAAATTGGATTCTTATCTAAATTCTAATGGTAAATTTTTCATCCACTTAAAATTACTTTTTTTTTCTCCGTTCCTAAAGTTGAAATTGGCCTTCTTCAAACGCGCTGCACAGACGCCACTAAACAGATAAGCTCGTCCGATAGCATCTACTCACGAAATTTCTACAGGAATACACCTGTGCGGTTCTCGCCCCTTCGCAACTTCAGCCCCGTGGGCTATTTGATCGCACGATCGCGATTAATCTCACCGCTAAATACTGGGCTCGAGTTGCAATTCGCCGCCCCTCGCATTCTTCCTCCTCATCAGACTCGAAACACCCCGGTCTCGACGCCGCGGTCGCGATGCAAATGACAATATTCACTCCCCTTCCCGTCCCCTCTCTTTCTCACCGCCAAGCGTGTCACGAGAGAGCGAATTGATGAAATCAGAAATGCAGATCATGACCGCACAATTGGGATCAACTGTGGCAGCAGACGTGAGTCCCCAATCGGCTAAGGGAGAAAGGAACGGCAGCATTTTCGTATTTGCACGCGTGCCCTCGCGTGATAAGCGGATTTTTACTTCTTTTGCGAAAAAAAATCGCCCGGCAATATGCATTTCCCACGTGGACACGTCACGCCGCGATTACCGTGCGAATGCACGAGAACGATAACGTACTTTTCTTTCTCCGTACGATTTTGCGAAATGCGATTCTGTCGAAAAGAGCTCGGTGAGTGAGCTCTTCAATAAGTGCGTACAGTGTAATATTTAACAATTCTCTCTTTCGTCAACAGTCTCTTATGAAAGTCGACTTTTCCAGCAACTGAAGTATCGCGGATTGCACGCGGAGCCCTTAATCTTTCGTATCATTGTTCAAACGACTTTCCATTCAAACACCTTCTACTTTCTTTTTATCAGTTACTTTGGTCGTGCGCGAAAAAACGAGAAGCTCCTTCCCATCTAATTGTCACGATTTATTTAACCTGACATTTCTTGTGCATTCACGAGTTTGATTCCAACTTTGAGAATATTTTATAAGTGTCATTTTCAAAAAGTGAAAAATCTCATTATATATATGTCTCAATCGTGTATTATCTGATTATATCTCACGAGACCCAATTCTAAAATTCAGCAGATCTTCAGAGATTTAACATTCAAGAAAAGTATCAGATCTCTGAAGGTTTAACGTGATTTAAATATATATAATGAGATTTTTTTCCGGTAAATCTATTTTCGGGAAAAATTTCTTGGGGAAAATTATACGTAAACATTAAAACTCAAGATGAAACTCTTAATAGAATCGATATTATCTTGAATGTCGTATACCTCTTTAAAGAAGAGGGTGTGACTCTCTTTACTCTCAAATCATCGGGTTTTTCTCCACGTCTTCGAGCCACGGGGCTGGTGACGCAAGATGATATTTAGATGTTCCCGCTCGACCGTGTGTATTATTTTGCACATGATACGCTTATTGTCGTTGGCTGTCGCGAGGAACGGCGATCTCGTATGAAAGGCGAGTCGAATGCGACGAGTAGCTTCATGGGAGAAATTCGACGAGTTTCGGCCCGGAGGCGGGCGCGTTCTCAGGGCTCGTCGTGCGTGATGAAAAGCGCGTGGTCATCCAGGCGAGACATGATGGAGGAAGGTTTAATCTTGCGTGCACTTGACTCGAGAGCCGCAGCCAGTGCAACCTGTGCGCCGTTTTCGCGATTCACACGAGGGGTGAGAGCGCCGCCCCGGCGAAAAACCCCCAAGGGTACGTGCGTACGTGCGGCCGTTTTAAATAAATTTCAATTCAAGGGGAACGGGAGGAGACGAACGGGGCCAGGATATGTATCACCCCGAACCCACCCTTCGTTGCGATTAACGAGCTATTGATACCCCCTTCCGCGTACTGGACCACGGATCCCCCTCTCGCATCTCGTCGAGACGTGATCAACCCCCTCTGTCCGCCTTCCACTGAACCGAATTCTGGACACTCCAAACCGCTTCAGGATCCCCTTGTGCGAGGAATATCGCACATGTGACGAACGCGATAAACGACGGAAACTCAAAGGGCTCGGGGATGATGCGTCCGCTTCGATACCATTATAAAGTCTTGGGAAAGTTCAGATGCTGAGGTTAACATGGTCAAACCATGAAATTAGAACGTGGTATGAGCCGTAAAGTCGTTACTGGGGCGGCGACGAAGGAGGGACGACGATCATTTGGTTTCGTTGGGAACGAAATCGAAGATCTGTGTATTCAGCCTGCATTGTATGCAACGTTTTAACGTGATAAGAGAAAGGATAACCCTGATACAAAAAGAATAGGATACGTTAAGTAGTAACATATCTACGAGCGTGTTTCTAAATTTAAAATGATCTAAATAATAACATTCAAATATATCGCAGTGGAGAAGAAACTTCTCCACGAGTTCAAACTTGTTCTCACGCAGAAAAACAGAATATTCTTCTTTTGAAAATATGTTCCGTTTCAACGTGAAAATCTCGAAATGAAATTATACTGCGTTAAAGAAACGAAACTTACTTGAATGCAGCAATTTTGTATAATTCAATCAAGAAAAATATATGCTTATTATTTAAGAATAATTTTCTTGAATGGAAGGGACAGAATATTGAATAGAAAATAACACATTTTCAAATTATAATAATTAAAATAATTACATGCATTCTTGAAGTGACAATTACAGCATTTAAATAAGACTGTAGCATTGTTGGAACGTAAGCTTATTAAATGCGCCTAAGACGATTATAGATTGTTAATTTGAGTATATAAGAGTTGATCTAACACTTTTTCTCTGTGCAGTTTGAAAGCATCTAAATACCTAAAAAAATAAAATAAACTCGTCTCTTTTTTAAATACGCGCCTAAAATAATCTAAACGGTTTAATAATTAATCCACGTGATTATCGTCAATGTATCTCAGGAACTGACAGATGTTTCGCTCTAGCAGCACGTCGCAAACTACAAACTAGAATAGTCATCAGCGTGCATGCGATTACTAGGACGTATCTTCCTTCTCGGGATAAGTGCGCTCCACGAAGATGAGAGAACGTAGAAGACGCCGCGTAGCTTCAGTGGGAACCGGACCCGTATCGAATGACCGTGGGAGCAATGCATAAACGTCAAAATGGTGAAATTATTACTCGGCACGGTTATTATTGTAATCCCCCCCCCCCTCCCCCGGGCGCGCCGTACACCAAGTTCATCATTATCATCATCATCCGAGTCTTCTTCTGCGTGTCCCGTCATTACAATAGCTCGCCTCAGCCGCCATGGGTTTTCTTACGCCCGACGCGTCCGCCTACTTTTACGTTCTCCTTTCTCACTTTCGAGAAACCGGCGTGTCGCCGCCGGGACCAGGTAACGCGGCCCGACGATTTCGGGTTTCATCTTTCGACGCGGTTTCTTGCGCGAGCGAGCTGCGTGTGCGCCGCGCCGCGCCGCAACAAAGCACAGGAATTCCTATGAAAGGGGGGGGGGGGCGAAGAGGACACGTCGGAGAAACAGGTCGC